TACGAAAAAACAAAAAAAATTTGCTTTTGCCGCTGAAGAAAATAATGTAGTATCTGATACAGATGAATCTAGTAGTGATACAGTTGCCTTCTTAACTAAACAGTTTTCCAAAATTTTGAAACAGGTATCTAAAAACACGCGTGACAGAAGTTCACAAAAGGGAGTAGCATCATTCAGAACTGCACCTAAGACAGGGACGTCAAACGCCAAACAGTCTGTCTCACGTCCAGGACAATCCAAATAAAGGTCCAACAACAAAGGCATCAAGTGTTACGAATGTGAGGGATTTGGGCATGTACAAGCTGAATGCGCCACCTATCTTCGACGCAAAAAGTCTATGTCAGCCATTACCTGGAGCGATGACGAGCCTGACATTGAACCAACCGGGTCAGATATCGAAGAGATCTCGGGTAATTTTGTTGCATTTACGGCACTATTTACTAACAGTTCAGAACCTGTTGAAGATTCAGAAGGTGGTGACTACGTCTCTGCAGAAGATGTGGAACAAAATGCTTTATCTTTTGAAGCTGAATTTAATAAGTTGTATCCCAAATGGGAAGCATTAAGAAAAATGAACTGCAAACTAGCTAGTGAAATAGAGATTGTAACGAATGCAAATAAAGTATATCAAAATCAAGTAGCTGATAGGAATGTTTTTCTTAAAGAAGCAGCAGGTCGAGAAGAAAAACTACAAAACGAAGTACCAACCAGAAATGTACTTCTTAAGGAAGCAGCTGACCGAGAAGCAAAACTCCAACAAGAAGTTCAGAATTTGAAACAAGAGCTCAACACCTACAAACGACAAATCCAAATGATGGATACCACATCCACATTAAATGAGATTCTTGATTCCGGCAGGAAAACGTCTGCAAAATTTGGGTTGGGTTTCATCGGCAGTAAATCCAAGGATAAGACTGTATTTGTAAAAGCATCTAGAACTGATCCAGACGACATCCCTGAATGCAGCACTGTGAAATGCACCTATGGTAAAGTAAACATAAACAAAATGAATTATAAGCTATATAATCCCGTTTGCCACTATTGCAGGTTACGCGGGCATACCAGGCCGGAATGCTACTATTTCTACAAGGATCAAAGAATTGAGAAGTTCAGGCACAAGAACATTCAACCGTTCACAAAACAAATTTGGGTTAATAAGGCTGATTATATATCTTTTGTTTCATTTCATACTAAAAGTGCAGGATGAGAAGAAAAATGGTATTTTGACAGCGGGTGTTCCCGTCACATGACAGGGAACGTAAAATTCCTGAATAACGTCAACACCAGTAACGGTGAAGTTACTTTTGGTGACGGTGTCAAAGGACAAGTGACTGGCATAGGCACTTTAAATGTAGCTGGTTTGCCAAAACTGGACAAAGTGTTACTTGTCCGTGGACTTCACGCTAACCTTATTAGCATAAGTCAATTGTGCGACCAAAACTGGAACGTGTGCTTCACCAAAAACAGCTGCAGTGTGATGGACAACACAAATCAATGTGTCATGGAAGGTAAACGATCAACTGATAATTGCTATATTCTAACTAATAATGTGTTATGTTGCAGATCCAGCATAAATGAAGCTGAGCTATGGCATAAAAAATTGAGGCATCTTAGTTATAGACTTCTCGATAAGCTTGTAAAAATCGAAAGTGTTCGTGGGCTACCAAAGTTGAAAATAGAGTCAACTATATGTGGTGCCTGCCAAGCTGGGAAACAAACCAGATCAACTCATCCAGCTCAACACACCATAAACACAAGTCGGTGCCTGGAATTGATACACATGGACCTCGTTGGACCAACTCAGACAGAAAGTTTTGGAGGTAAGAAATATATACTAGTATGTGTTGATGACTTTTCTCGTTTTTCTTGGGTTATGTTTCTCAGGGAAAAATCCGAGGCACTTGAGGCATTCAAGACACTGGGATTAAAACTTCAAAAAGAAAGAAACGAATCCATCAGGAGAATCCGAAGCGATCACGGCAGAGAATTCGAGAACAAAGTATTCGATGAATTTTGTAACAAATCAGGGATTACACATGAGTATTCAGCACCAAAAACTCCACAACAAAACGGAGTTGTGGAAAGGAAAAATCGCACTATCCAGGAGATGGGCAGAGTTTTGCTCAACGCCAAAGGACTACCTCAAAAATTTTGGGCAGAAGCTGTAAACACTGCGTGTCACATCATCAACAGAGTTTATCTACGTCCGGGTACAACGCAAACTCCGTACGAGCTTTGGAAAGGTAAGAAACCAAACATTACTTATTTTCATATTTTCGGCTCACGTTGTTTTATTTTGAAAGATAGGAATCCTACTTCTAAATTTGAACCAAAAAGCGACGAAGGAGTTTTTCTCGGATATTCCACCAACAGCAGAGCCTATCGGGTATATAATAAAGTGACCAAAACCATAATGGAGTCCACAAATGTCGTCATTGATGATCAACCCAGTGAAATTACTGAAGTTATTCAGTCTGATCCAGTGACAGAACCTGAAACTGATCGACCTAAAACTCCTACCGCTGATACTCCAGAACCAGACCATGAGTCACCCTCTTCATCACCCATATGCAATCAACCTGAATCTGAACCCGAGACAGAATCAGAAAATGAGCATGAAGATATTGACATTCCAACTCGTATCCAGAAAAATCATCCGATCCAAAATGTGATTGGAGATCCCAGTTCAGGTGTGAAAACTAGAGGTAAACCAAAACTAGACTATCTTGAACTAGCTGGATATTCCTGTTACACTTCACAGATTGAACCAAAGAATATTAAAGAAGCCCTAACCGATGAACACTGGATCAAGGCCATGCAAGAAGAATTGGGGCAATTCGAACGAAATAAGGTACGGACCCTAATTCCTAAACCGTCTAATGTAAATGTTGTAGGTACCAAGTGGATTTTTCGCAATAAAACTGACGCAGCCGGCAACATTGCTCGAAAAAAAGCACAGCTAGTTGCCCAAGGGTATTCCCAAATCGAGGGAATCGACTACGACGAAACATTTGCACCTGTAGCTCGTCTAGAATCAATCCGGCTACTTCTGTCTATTGCATGTGCTTTAAAAATCAAGCTTTTCCAGATGGACGTTATAACAGCCTTTTTAAACGGCTATCTCACTGAAGATATATATGTTGCACAACCAAAAGGGTTTGAAGACCCGCAACATCCAGAATATGTATACAAGCTTCAAAAAGCTCTATACGGGCTAAAACAAGCCCCAAGAGCCTGGTACGAAAGACTCGCCCAATATTTACTTCAGAACAATTACAAACGAGGGGGCTCAGACAAAACCTTGTTCATAAAAAGATCAGGTAAACACATAACCATTGCACAAGTTTACGTTGATGATATTGTGTTTGGGTCCACACAGACAGGTGAAATGGACAAACTGGTCAAAGTTATGCAACAAGAGTTCGAAATGAGTATGATCGGAGAGCTGACTTACTTTCTAGGATTACAAGTCAATCAGTCAAAAGAAGGGATCTTTATCTCTCAAGTGAAATATGCGAAAAATCTCATATCAAAATTCGGTCTCGAATCTGCAAAAGATGCCCGGACACCAGTCTCAACAACTACAAAATTATCTAAAGACAATCAAGGAACTTCCGTTGACTCCACATTGTACAGGAGTATGATTGGTAGTCTACTGTATTTAACTGCTAGTCGACCTGACATCATGGTAAGTGTTGGTATGTGTGCTCGCTATCAAGCAAATCTAAAGGAATCGTACTTGAAGGCAGTCAAACGCATTATAAAATACGCTAAAGGTACTATTAATTATGGTATTTGGTATTCCACTGACACTAATCTTAGTCTTACAGGATTTAGTGATGCTGACTGGGCTGGTAACGCCGATAATAGAAAAAGCACGTCCGGAGGATGTTTCTTTATTGGGAAAAATTTGGTTGCATGGCTGAGTAAAAAGCAAAATTCAATATCACTCAGCACTGCAGAAGCTGAGTACATAGCTGCTGGCAGTTGTTGTACTCAACTACTCTGGATGCGTCAAATGCTTTCTGACTACGGAATAGATCAGAAAAATATGACCCTCTTTTGTGACAACACAAGTGCGATTAACATATCTAAAAACCCGGTTCAACATTCTCGAACAAAGCACATAGATATTCGTCATCATTTCATTCGTGACCTAGTTGAAGAAAAAGAAATAACTTTAGTCTATATTTCTACTGATAAAAATCTTGCAGATTTATTCACGAAACCTTTAGACAAATCTCGGTTTGAACTTCTTCGAGCAGCCCTTGGCGTATGCACTCTCATGGACTGATTTTTCATATGCCAGGTATCCCGTATAACCTATATGTCCTATTTATCTAATTTTTTTTTTAATTTCGTTTAATCTTGTGTTAGTTTCTTTTACACGACAATCAGGTATATTGTTTTCTTTCTCTCTGTTTTTCGGTCAGATTAGCACGGTCCAGTTGTTTCTTTTATTATTTCATGTGGTATAATTTAAAAAGGAGTCTTTTTGTTTTTAAAATTCAAATTCAGATTCTCTTTCCTAACAAAACTCAACGTCAAAAGCCTATATTATAGCTTTCATCATATCAATCTCATCACCTTTTTTCTAACCAATCCCATCTATCACTATATTAAAGTTTCTTTCCGAAGACATCATCACCGTTTTCCACCGTGCTCTCTTTCAAAGACTCAACTCTGCCGATTTCCTCCTTCAAGCTCCATCCATGGTGAATCCAAATACAAATCCCTTCACCATCTTCACCACCAGAGCCGAACGCTGTGACCTTTTTAAACAAATCATTGATGCCGATGCACCTCTTGGCCGTGACTCTGAGAACCGTGTTCTGTCCTCTATTATTCATTATCCGGAGCTTCTCACTGATATGTCAGCCAAAGAATCTCGGCAGCTTCGCTCTCTTGCCCGGAATGTTACGGTTGAGCCTTAGCCCATCCCTCCAAACTCCGAACACAGTGGTTCCGCCTCACCCTCGCCGGCCAATCACCCCATTGGTATGTCTCCTTTTCTTGTCTCTCGCCAACTAAATGTTTCTCTCAATATTCCGGATCAGTTTCCTACACCTTTGGTTTCAAACACAATAAGTTCTCTCCCTATCCCTGGTGATCCGTATGATCCTGCCACTCATGGTTTGCATAATGTCTTCCAATCATCTTCAAATCTCTCTAATGCCTTTCCTAATATGCCTAATGCCTTACCTAAAAATGTCTCACAATTTGCCCATGCCTCTTCTGCGCCTCTACACTGCTCATCTTTTAGCATTCCTATCTCGTGTGCATCCAACCCTCTGAAATCTGTGATGACACCTGTGCCCTTAAATGATACACCAGCATCCGTCCCCATTGTGTCGGTTCCCTTTACTGACTTTTCCCGAAAAGGGAAAGCAAAAATTGTTGTTTCAGGTACCGAGAAAAGGAAGCGTGCCTCTCTTGATGACATCGATCCGCTTTCCCCAAAACTTCAACGAAAAAATTCCCTTCTTCCGCCGAGAATTACACGGTCACAGGCAAAGACTGGGGTCACCTCTGTTTCTCTCTCGGTCGCTAATGCTAAGACTGCTCCATCAAGCTCTTGGCCAAAGCTCAAGAAAAATTACAGTCCTATCTTGCTGGATGCTACCCTTAAAGCTGACTGGGACGTTCATTCCAAAAGAGATTTGATCGTTGAAAAATTTATTAATGAAGAAGACCTTTTCCCAAAGTGCAATATTCTTCAGCTCTTGAAAGATCAATTTTTATTCTCCAGCCTTTCAAAACCTGGGTCGTATTCTGCATGGCTAACAGCGGAGTTCTACACCAACCTGACAGTGGATACTTTCACAATTGGTTCATCTAGGCTTCATAGAATTTTTATCCGGAACCGATGGTATACTTTTGGCCCTGCAGAGATCAATGCCTACCTCGATCGCCCTTCTCAGGTTCAGTCTGCCGATCCGAATTTAAATCTTCTTACTGCAGTTCTAACTCATAACAAACAGATTACCTGGCCTGATTCCGGTCTGAGGTCTCAAGAATTAACCACTGTTTATTCAGTATTGCTCTGCCTTGCTTCCGCCAATTGGCTCCCTGTCGTACGAGTTCATCTAATTTCTGAACCTTTGGCCCTGCTTCTCTACAAGATTCGCAACCGTCTCACATTTGATCTCGGGGAAATTATATTCTCCCATATTTTGGCTTATCATTCGAAGAAGAAAGAAGCAAAGATTCACCTTCCATATCATTGTCTCATTTATGGAGTACTCATTGCTCAAGGGTTTCGGCCATAAAAGGATGAACATGTTGCAAAAGCAGACACGGTTTACATTTTTGATGATCGGCTTACTCAATTTTCACATTACGATGATCGGGATTCTCCGAGTCCGTTCCCACACCGCCTCTCTCCGCACCGGTCTCATTATCTGAGAGTGAATCGGCTCCCGTCACTGCCGCCACTGCCATCCCTAAGGAATCTCCGACTCTTCTGGCGCGCCGATAGTTAGTTATTACCCTTCGAGCTTCCGCTTCCCAGCTTCGCAGTTCTATTTCCTCTCAACAAGCTACGCTCTCGGGTTTGGATAAGCTATTGGAAGAGCAGCTGCGAGAAATCTTCCGGCTTGAGTCTATTCATGCAGACATTCTTGCTGCCGGCCGCAATCATAATTCTGACCCTGATGATGATGCATCTTCTTCAGACTCGGGTACCCCGTCTGCACGGTAACACTAATCCACTAGTATGATGTTCACCTTCCTTTGCCATTTATTTGGTAAAAAGGGGGAGATAAGCAATGTAGTAAGGGGGAGATATTTTTGGTATGTTTGGAATACGATATGCAAACAGTAAGGGGGAGCAGTAAGTCTTGGTCTGCTGGTATGTTTTTGAAATTTTTTTGGTACGTACGTTGTGGTTTTAATTCTAGAGATTACATATGATACTACTCGTTATCTATTGTTTTTGGTGGTTATGTGGTAATTTTTTGAATGGCATCTCATGGTCAGTTCAAGGTCAGTAAAGAAAAATGAATGATTCGGATGATGGTCCAAAAGGTCTCCTTTTGAGGGTTATTTATTTTTATTTATTTTTGTTTTATCATTGTTAAGTACATATACTAAGGGCAGTGAATAAAATGGATGTTTTCTTATTTTTGGCCCTTGTATAAGATACTTTAGTTTTACCAAATAAATTTCCAAAGGGGGAGATTGTAAGTGTAGAAATATTGTACACATCAGATTGTGGTTGGCTAAATTTATTTAGATTAGTTCTGGTTATTTAAACTAGATTAAAAGGAAGTATTTGGACCACATCCAATCATATTTTGCATGGCTACAAAACTGCATGGTTGAGAATGAGAAGTCTGCGTGATTTGGGGTGTTCAAACAAAAATGAGTGGCTTGGATTCAAATGAAGAATATGATGCTGATTTCAAGGATTATGGTAATACACATACACTGCTATAAAAGGGAGCATCTCAAAGAAGGAATTTTGCTCATCTACGAATTACTATTGTCATTACAAACTTCCTCAAAGCTATCAGACTATTTATCTATCTTATATGTTTTAATTAAGAGTATTGTAATCTGGTTTACATGATCAGTACGTGGTACTGCTGAAACAACTTGTGAAGATTGTTCGGGTATTCGTATGTCAGTCCTAGATAGGTGTTAGAAAGAGTGGTAGTGGTAAAAGGCTGGAGGCCGTATTCATTTACCTCTTGTAATACTCCTTTGGTGAACATCTATAGTGGATTGGGCAGACGTGGGTTGCCCCGCAGACGTAGGAGAAGGAGCTCCGAACTGCGTAACAATTTCCTTGTGTTTTTATTTTATTTATGCTTTCTGCAGTTATTATTTATACTTGCATAAACGAGCTTAATTAATTAACTAAATTGGTACTTTATTCAATTATCATATAAAAACACATAACGTTTATATTTCAAGTATCACGGTACAATTTCAACAATCACCATTGATGTGCTCCACACCCACCCCCAATTTGCTCTTCTTCAAGTAAAATCAGACAATGGAACCCCATGGATCCTATCTATAATTTATGGTAGTCCTAGTCATGCTCTTAGAAAGAAGTGTTTGGGTTTCTTTAGGAGATTATAATTCTGTTTTAGATCGTGAAGAAACTAGTAGTACTGATTCATATGCCTTGTCTCGCTGTGCTGATTTTCAGGATTGGATATCAAGAGAAGGCCTAATAGATCTCGGTTTCTCAGGTCCCAAGTTTACATGGATGCGGGGCTTGAATTCTCCAAATTTTAAGGGGGCAAGACTTGATCGTGCCCTATGCAATATTGAGTGGAGGCTCAGATTTCCAGAAGCAGAAGTGAAGCACCTGCCAATAATCAATTCAGATCATGCCCCTTTGCTTCTTAGCTGGTCTTCAGTTTCTCACAACGTTTAAACCAAACAGTTTCGCTTCAATGCAGCTTGGTGTTCTCACCCTGACTACCAGAATTGTGTTTTGCGCAACTGGAATCCAAAAGTAGACCTGGACCATAACCTAAAGGCCTTGACGAAACAGCTTGGAGAATGGAACAAGCAAGTCTTTGGAAACATCCACCAAAGAAAGAGGCGTGTTTTTGCAAGACTTAGTGGAGTTCAGCGTTGCTTAGCAATCCAGCAAAGAGCTAATCTGATCAGTCTCGACTGCAAACTACGACAAGAACTCAATGAAATTTTGCACCAAGAGGTGCTTCTCTGGTTTCAAAGATCACGCGAAGAATGGATCACATATGGTGACCATAATACACGCTTCTACCACACAGCAACAGTAGTTCGCAGATCTACCTCGATTATCAAAAGGCTTAAGGATGACGCTGGGGAATGGATCTCAGACTCTACAGAGATTATGGATCTCATCCGTTCCTTCTATATCAAATTATATTCTAAAGACATTGAACCAATGGAGGATGACCTGTCCAGAGAACGGTTCCCAGAGCTGCAAACTTCAGACTGGCAAGTTATTAATAGGCCCTTCTCAGCAGAGGACATTCAACGAGCAGTTTTTGACATGGCCCCTTTCAAAGCACCTAGTCCAGATGGCTATCAAGCCGGTTTCTATCAAAAAACTTGGTGTACTGTCAACGAAGCTACTACGAAGTTTGCTTTGAATTTCTTCTCAACTGGTTATCTCCCGGAGGGTTGTAATGACATTGTGATCTCATTGCTTCCGAAAGTTCCTAACCCGGAATTTGTTAATCAATTCCGGCCAATCGGCTTGTGCAATGTTGCCTACAAAGTGTTGATTAAAGCAATGACAACGAGGCTCAAAACTGCAATTCGTAAGTTGATCGGGCCTCATCAAACAAGTTTTGTCCCGGGAAGACAAATCGTTGATAATATTCTGGTATATCAAGAGGCTTTAAATTCCACAAGACTCAAGCGTGGAAAGGAAGGCATAATGGTAATCAAGATTGATTTGGAAAAAGCCTATGATAGGCTATCTTGGGAGTTTATACAATCTACTCTCCAGAGTGCAGGTTTTAACCATGAATGGATCAGGAACATCATGCATTGTGTTACTACTCCGAGACTGGCAGTCTGTGTTAATGGGAAGCTTTCCCAATGGTTTAAACCAGAACGTGGTATTCGTCAAGGGGATCCAATGTCTCATCTTCTCTTTGTTCTTTGTGTAGAAAGATTAAGCCATCTAATTGAGCAAGCTGTTAATGAGGGCAATTGGAAGGGCATGAAGTTTACAAGGAATGGACCATGTATTAGCCACCTTTTTTTCGCAGATGATCTAGTTTTCTTTGGATAAGCTTCACTACATCAAGCTTCAGTTACTAAGAAATGCTTAGAGGAATTCTGCAAGTTATCCGGCCAACGAGTAAGCTATATGAAATCTTCATTGTATTTCTCAAAAAACACAAGTGTGGAAATACAACAGGCTATTAGCAGTTCTCTGGGTATTCCGATTGTTAACGATCTTGGCCGGTATTTAGGAGTTCATTCTATACGTGGAAGACTTAAACAAGAGTCTTTTGCAAGTATTATTTCAAGAGTTCAAAGTAGGCTCGCCGGCTGGAAGACAAGAATGCTTTCTCTAGCAGGCAGAGCAATACTAATCCAATCTGTACTTTCTACAATTCCTTATTATACAATGCAGTCAACCCTCCTTCCCCGCGGAGTTATAGAGAATTCAGAGAAAACATCAAGGAAATTCCTCTAGGGCTCTACGGATAGTGATCACAGGACTAGCCTCGTGAACTGGAAGACAGTCACGCAGAGTAAGGATCACGGGGGTCTTGGCATTCGAAGGTTAGATCATATGAATCAAGCTTTCCTTCAAAACTTGGCTGGAAGTTGTTGAATGATGAAGACAGCCTCTGGGTGAGAATAATGAAGGCAAAGTACACCAATGGGAGCTGTGATCCTCACTCGTGGAAAGCCAAAACAAGTATGTCTAATGCTTGGAAAGACATTCTTAGTGCTACCCCTACTCTAATCAAAGGTGTTAAGAAATCAGTGAGGAATGGAAATTCCACATTATTTTGGTTAGATTCATGGATTGGTCACTAACCTTTATATCAAGTTGCTTCAGGTCTTATACCACCAACTGATTTTCATATCAAAGTTTCTGACTACTGGGATCCCATTATTGGATGGCGTTGGAATAAATTCTCTAATCTCTTACCAGAAGGGATTTTAAACTCAATAGCAACAGTCATTCTTCATGCAGAACCAGATTTAGAAGATTCTAATGGTTGGGGTCTAAGTAATCCTGGCCCTTTCTCTGTTAGCTCAGCATACGAGATTGTGGCTAATTCTACCACAAGAAGCAATGATAAAACCTGGAGCTCTATAGGGAAATTAAAGGTCCCATATCGTTTACGTACTTTTCTTTGGCTTGCAAAGCATGATAGACTCATGACTGATTCGAACAGAGCTAAGCGTGGTTTCACTAGTGACACATCATGCAAGCTTTGCAGACACTGCCCAGAAGATATGGAACACATCCTACGAAAATGTCCAAGTGCGCACTGCATCTGGGAAGCTTTATTTCTAGACATCTTCTTGAGCCTTCAGCATTACTCTTACGCAGACTGGCTGGATGCAGGAGTTTCTGGTTTCGCCAATGATCATCAAAAACACATCCAGAGTGTCACTTTCGCTGTCGCAGCTTGGTGGTTATGGAAGTGGAGGAATGACTTCGTATTCTCAGATACCTCAATTGACTTTCACGCAAAGATTAAGTGGATAACAGATCAGGTCAGTGATATTGATGAAGCGTTTCGAAAAGCTAAATTACTTTGGGTATCGCCAGAGTCTAGATCATGGA